GTTCCCCCCCCCCCATGGATGTACAGGTATATGTACATGTGTATGAGAATATATAATATTTATAAGGCCAAATTTAATGATATACATGCATGTAGAAGTAAATGTTTGTAATAATTAACATGACTTATGTAGATGTATAAGTTAGGTTAGTGTATAAATCACAAAATACAGTAAACATAAACATGAAACATACATGTAGTACTGTATATGTTGCTCGATGTGACTCGCTGTTGTTTTGCTGACTTTCACTGCCTCTCACGGACTTTTTGTGGCATTTTCGCGATGTAAAAAATTCTTTTTTGGATGAATATTTTTGAAAAATCCGCGATGCACTGAATCCGCAATATGTGAATCGCGAAGTAGTGAGGGATCACTGTATTTTTATTCTGCATATTTATTGCCATGATAAAATCAGCTCGTTTTAGGGGCGAATTTTTCTTATGGAGTGAACCTGCCCCCGTGTACTGAAGGGCCAAGGGCTTTTTGTTAGAATGACTACCAATGACCAGCACAGACCATTTGTTGGCTATCCTGTACTTCTGGTCCCAGCTGTTTGCTTCTACTTGCGGAAGCAGAGCGTAGAATGTGGGATAAAATCATTTTAACAGTGCATCGACACATGAACAAACACAAATGAGAGTGCCGACCATTAATCTTTGTGTGACCAGTGGCTAATGGAACAATTTCCTCACCTGAACACGCACCATGCACACTAAAAGTGAGTGCCCATAAGACATTCCATTGCGTTATCACATGCAGCATTTCATCACCGAGCCACCTAATTACACTGGTGAGCGATGCGGTGAATGACATCGCCAAATACAAAAGTTAACCACCGTGTGAAAATGGCTCGTTCTTTCACATTGGCACGCCGTCCAGCAGACCTGCCAAGGCTAAGAGAGTCAGTGAGGAGGTAATTCCAATAAATTAATTGGCACCACTGCTTCATAACAGTGCGGCCACATCTAATGTTCAGAAAGAGACAGGTAACTTCAGGTATCCTTCGTTATTTGATTCCATACAAGATGGTTGTGCGTACACTCCAGATACACAACTCTTTGTTTACAAGATGCCAAAAGTCTCTGTGTGTCCAAATAATGTGAGCGTCATGAGCAAAAAGCAGAGTTTAACTGTGTCATATTGTACATTTTGCATAACTCAGTCAACCACATGTGATTTCTGCTACGCAAGCCCTGGCCCATAAAATGTGCAGCTCATAGCGCTACTGTAGCCCATAGCATAGAAGCACGCTCCAGTGCTTTAACAACATGCGTTTATTTTCCTTGGCTCAAGTGTCCATTTAGATTTATTGAAACGATTTGCCTTTGCAAATTCTTGAATAATGTTAGTCATGTGTTCCTAGTTCACCTCCAGATTCCTCCCATTCCTGTTTGATTTGGTTATGCAGTTCATGTCAAAAGGATTTAGTCCAGTGGAGGTGAACGGCAGATTCCAATGTTCAGTGTCTGCACTTGATGAGTCTAATGTAAAGCAATGACAGCAAATGTTCAAGTTAAAAAAAAAAGGTTTGGTACACATACACCAATGCCTTTTAATTGACAGCCTTTTGTTTTGATTTCAGGTTCTCAAGAGTGTGTGGCAGACTGATCAATGGCACTGACTGTGAACTTGATTGGTCCATCGCCATGGGGCTTCAGAATAGTTGGAGGAAGGGACTTCAAAAAGGCCATAACTGTATCTAAGGTATTTGTCGAGCCTCGCGCTGCCGCTGAACCTCTTCTCGCCTTATCAAACCATATCCTCTGTTTTTTGTCAAAACACAGACTGTAATGGCATGCCATGCAAAGTCAATTTCCTCCTCACGACGTCCCTTTTCTTGTCTTTGTTTGAATTCACAGGCTGTCTCTTACCTATTTCCTTGCAAGGCAAAACCATTAGAATAGAATGGAAGTAGATTACATTAGAAGGAAGCCACTGATTACAGTTACAGTGGAAGTTGAGGTGGGAGGTTAGTTGCTGCTGGTCTGGAGTGCACAGTTAAATGTGTTTGGATACGGATATGCGTTTCTCTCAGTGATAACATGCATGTACCACACGTACCAGTAATTCACATAAGCTTACTGTTTTGCAGACCAGATTTTTTGTTTTTGCAGTGTCGAATATGTCTGCATGCAGGAGACGTACAGCTCTGCTCACTTAGCATCCCGCTGCCACATCATTGCATTTCCCTACAATCCCCAGCAAGCTCTTCAGCACACAGAGTATAAATTAGGTAGAAACCTGTGACAGTTTCAATCTCCCTTGACTTATAAAACATGTATCATTTCCCCTCTTGAAAAGGTTTGCGTGGCTGTGCACAAATATTGGGCTCTCGGTTGGATTTTGTTACCGCTGCCCAGTCAACAACACCAGTGTGTTTCCTAGTCGCAAATATCAAACGCCCTTTCTGAAGTCTCGCCAAATTCAGCTGTAAGAGGGATAAGCTCTTCATTGAAACCGATTGGCATTGTCCAGTTTGACGGACAGCCAGTCTGACCACTGCTGTTGAGAAGCCGTCTGGCTGATAAGATGAACCTGCTGGCACTTGACACTGACATGGATTCAGTATTTCATTCAAGTTGCCTGAATAATAGTGATTTCTTGTTTTGCTTGGGCAAAGACTTGATTGACAATAATTTATCGGACTGCACGTAGTTAATCCAGGCATGTGAATCACCGCAGCAACACTTAATTGCCTGTTGAAGGGCCACAGGCATGGCCTCTTTGCCCTCTTACTTGGCCAAAGTGACTGGCATTCTCTGTGCAGACATTTTTTATCTGGAGACTGAAACCTTTTGTAGTGTTTTGCATTCTTTGTTCACTTATCTTCCCTCTCTCACTTTTCTTTTTTTTTTTTTTTTTTAACATTTTACTGAAAATGTCAGGCCACAAATTTTACAATCAAGCCCTTGATCTCAGCCTTTGTGTATAAGTCTTGTGTGAGGCTTGAAAACGGTTGCTCCCATTAAAGTGGAATTTCCACTGATGTGGCGGTGTGTGACATTGGCTTTGATGTATAGGGAGTGCACAGTAATTGCAAAGGTCAAACCATCAAGTCTGTCACACTAAGGACTTCTCCCAAAGGACGTCTATCAATCGTTCCACTGTTGATTGAAGTTCCACTTTTTTCTGCATGTTAATAGCTGTGTCAACTGCGTCTTCCTGACAGTTGGTATAATAGACTGCTGGCTTAGAAGCATGACACAGCCGAGAGATAAACCGGTCGCGTTAAACTTAGTAATTCTTCTCCCCCGCCCCCAATGTGTCATTGGTTGTCTTCTGTTAGTTTAGTAAGTACACCAATGACACATTGTGGAAACAACTTAACTTTGTCTTCTGTCAGTTACGCATTTGCTAATGCTCGATCCCTCTTATTGACAAGTTGTCAGCACAGCCACTTGTTAAACAATTAGGGGTTAGATTAGGGCCTCTATTTTAAATTCATTTTTTTTTTCTTCAACAGGTCAACGGAGGTAGTAAAGCAGAGCAAGCAGCTCTCAAACCAGGTGATGTCATCTTGGCCATCAATGGGGAAAATACTGCTGACATGCTAAATGCAGAAGCCCAGAACAAAATCAAGAACTCCAAGACCCATCTGCAGCTGATGGTGGAGAGGTATGCACCATGAATCAAAACATTATGATCTTCACATTCTTGCGGCTGTTTTTAGCATTTAAACTACACAGATAATGTGTACGCAGATGGTTTTTTTTTTCAGTTCATACGCCTCCCTCATTTAATGCCAAGATTGCAGTCAGTCCTTCCACTGTTTTGTGTTTTAGTCATCATTTAAACACTGCACAAACAAAACAAGTGATTGCCATCAGAGGAAATACCAGTTTGAATTGGAGCCACATTGTTGTTTTCCCTGGTTCTCCAACAAACGTGTTTGGAACCCCAAAGGGGTTTTCTTTCAGTCTGGCCTGCGCGCTTGGCTGCAAATTTAATAGAGGGCCTTCCCTTTATTCCATTTCTTTTCACTGTTTCCCCCAATCCTTCTTCAACATTGTCTTGCCTTCTTATGGGTTTCAGCCAGACCTTAGAAAGCTCTCACACACGTACAGTACTTTCACGTTATCTCCTGAGGTGTCCAATGTCTGTGTGTGTATTGCTGATCTTGTGTCTCCCGCTGAACTAGAAGGACACTGCCACTGTCTGTGGTTGTGTATTGCACATACATTAAACCGCGGTGCTACAAAAAAGAGGTTTGTAGCACTGCAGCACACATTTTTCATGTTTACATTTTGTTCTTGGTTTAGTTGGAAGCACGCTCTTTTCCAACTGAACATGTGGCCTGCAGCATTGGCACTTTGAACAATCATCACTCAAACTTGTTTCCCGAAACTGAAAAGGGGCTTTGTTTCTTGCAACCATGTGCATGTACAGTGTGTTTGGAGGTGTTTGTATTGAGGTGCATAACCATTTGAAGTCATCTATTTAGCATGTTGTGCTATTGAAGTTCTTTGTTACAACCTTTGAAATGTAAAAGTCACAGTGCGTTGTGACCTCACTTGGGTCACAACTAGTATAAGCAGGAACACGTTCATTGGGTTTCCGTGCAACTTACATCTCTGCCATTCTTTGAGTCATTTTATAGTCTGGCTGAACTGCACCTGAATAACTTCCAGGCGTGGAACTGAGGTGGAATGTTAAAAATGCCCAACTATTTTAGCCACAGAATCCGTGACACTGCTGTCTGATCGGTGAGATCACGGTTGACAGCAACATAGCAGGCGAGTGAGGCGTGTTCATTTGAAATGGGTGTTTTTCGTTGCCCGTAGAACACCATAGCTCAACACAACTCTCTGGAAGGTGCCATCAAATGGACTGATTCTTGATTTCATCCAGTCAGAATACCAGTATGTTTAATACTGTGTATTATGTTTTTTTTGGAAGACTTCCAAGCAAATATCAGCGCTAGCCGATTTAAATGCTGGAGGGAGGGCCACAATTTTTCATCAGTACTATTGGGCGATGGGGGGCACAGGACCACACACTTTGTCACAAGTTGTATGACAAAAATGTCACTATAAATGTAGAAAAAAAAATGTGTGCATATGTTCAAAATACATGCTTGTTATATATTTTAACCACATACTATGATCTAGTTAGTGTAGAATTGTTTCCCCTTCATTCAATCCTGAGCAATTAATATTTCAGTTTATGAGAGCGAGGACATCTTCTGTACACGTCTGAGGACTCTGCCTTAGGCAGGTCCCCTTAATGACACCACCGAGGGACTTGAATTAGTAAGTGCTGCTTTATTTTGATCAAATCCAATGATGGAAAGAGACACTCAGCATTTTTTGTATTTGACACATTTATCTTTGTCATGGAGAGGTCGGTGCTCATAGACTCAACACTGATGTAATCATTAACCTGCAATACATGGTATTGTCTGTTGGCCACCACTTGTCCCGTCACTGACAAAGATAGAGGCCAAGGGGGAAAAAGTAAATAATTCTCTGGCATCCGGCTCCCATTTCAAAGCAGTTTTTCTAATGTCCTCTGGAGAAGTAATGTTTTTCAGCTTCTATACTTGCTCCTTTTCTTGTCATCCCTTCCCTACACACAGAATAGCGATGAGAGTTGGTGTGTTTCTGCGTGATTTACCACAGGCATTCAAGCTTTCCTGTTCGCCTCATTACAGTACCTCAGGCTTGACCGAGAGCCAGTCATCCTCCAGGCCTGCAGCTAGGGGGGCACTGTGTGTTTGAATTGGCCACCGAGCTGCCCATTCCCGCCCCCCTCAAAATTTAATCATCAAATTGCTTGCAGAACGTGTTTTTATTTAAAGCAAAAGGGACTGCAGTAGTTGGAAAGAGGCGAGCTGTCAGAGGAATATTTTTGAAAGAGACACGCAGTCTCATGCCAACGGACATGCTTGAACATTATCCAAAGCAGTCCAAACATTTTCCATAGTGTCATTCTAAACGATATTCCAGTCGGTAAAAATGTAATATGAACTTACACCCTGTATTATTTTACTTGTTTTTATTCGGCAGTAATTGTTTTAACATCATTGTTCTTAAAAGCTGTCGGATTGAAAATACATTTTGAAGCTAACTTTAAATCCTACATAATCAAGTGCCGATCTTCGATTGATACCTGTGGATTTCTGTCTCTCTAGGCGTGCACTGTCCAATCCAAAACAGACAAATGGTGTCGGCACCCCTGAACAGCTCACTGGGCACTTTCAGGTCAGATTTATTATTTTGTTTCTATCATCTGTCTGCTTGAAAGCTATACTCTGATGCCCAACGCAATCTGTAAAATCACATTTATTCACAAATCAGTTTTGTTTGGGGTTTTTTGGGAAAATTTACTTTTTCATGTCATCAAAATGAGTGATTGATTTTGTTGAACTGATTTTTGTCCTGATTTTTGGTCATAAAAAGCACTGTTTTGATGTCCTTGTGGGTGCAAAGCAACTGTGAAATCAAAATGCAACAAATTCAATGACAGAATATTAATCCAATGCTTACGTACTGTCCCTCAATGCTGTGATTTGTAGGAAGCAGTAATAGTAAGTCGAGACGAAAACCAGAACTATCGAGAGTACAGCATATCCAGCCCTGCATCACTGTCACCTGTGCCGTATTCACAACCTCCTGACAGTCCTGACTGCAAGAAAGAGACATTGACAACCACCACCAACAAGAGGTAAAAGCTTCCCTGAATTTTTGTGTCTGAGTCTTATCATTTACTTGTACTGTATCAGATACCCTAAAATCATAGTCAGACAAATGTGAATGTGCCCTTTATGAAAATATGCTTAATGCGACTGTGATTTCCAGGCTAGCAGCTTCCCTATGAATTCCATCCATCCATTTTCTAATCCATATATGGAGCCTATCCCAGCTGCAGCTCGGACACTAGGCTCGGGATACCCTCCACTGGTTGCCAGCCAATTTCCCATGATTTGAGCGGAAGAATGAAAAGGCAGGAGTGCCACAAATTAAGAGTTAATTCCGAAAGATTTAAATACTCACTAAAGGTGCTACGGTTTACTGACAGCTAATCGATTATCAAATTGATTTTGACAATCGATGGGTACACGTTTTTAAAAATAAAATAAATAATAGTCAAGATGCTCGGAATTTCAGATGCTCACCAGTAAATATCAGATTTCTATAGTCCTCCTTGAAAACAGACCGATTCTTTGTGTTTAATTAAAAGTAAACATTTTTTTGACTAGATGGCGGAAATCAGTCATGGAATCATGATTAATTTGTGTGTGGCAATTTCTATGCTGTAAATTTGGAAAAAAAAAAAGTTTTTGGAATCAGGGGTTGGAAGTTTACTGAATAGTGGGTATGAGTGTGAGCGCGGATAGTTGTTCTTCTCTGTGTGCCCTGCGATTGGCTGGCAACCGGTTCGGGGTGTCCCCTGCCGACTGCCCAAAGACAGCTGGGATAGGCCACGGCACGCCCCGCGACCCTTGTGAGGATAAAGCGGATCAGAAACTGGATGGATTACTGAATAGTGTTGATATTGCCTTTGAATGTTATGTAATTGAAATGACTTCATCGTCAAGCCCTCAGACGTTCTCGGGAAAAAGAAATAGTGAAAGTGAAACGTTTTATTTTGACTAGAAACTGTATGAAATTATGAATTAGTAGTTTCATTAATCATTGACATTTGCATACGTAGGTTAACGCCTTTTTCGGTGTTCATCTATTAGTGTTTCGTGGACTCCTTCTCCAATGTCACAAATATTTTAATCAGTTATTACAGAGAAATCTGGAAATTGGGGTCTGCATTTTTAAACCTTACCTGTGTAGGGTCCCTGGAGTTCAGAGGAGTTGAACAAATCACATTTTATCTCTGCTAATTCATAATTCTTTCTAATGTACAATGATAATTGATCATGGTAAAAAATTAGGAGCGATTCTAGTTGCATCTTCCTGAAAGAACGTTGTTAGGCCATCTGTTTAAAGCTCCTTTAGCTGTATTCATCTGGCGCTAGTTGATGCTTTGTGAAAAGTGTTCTGTTTGACAAGTTGAATAGGATTAAAAGTGGACAAAGTGCTCCCGTGACGCTGCAGCATCCAGTGTCAATAGGTGTGAGAATAACAAAGTGGAGCCACAAGCTTATACTGTAGTAACAAAGGATATGCATAGGATATCACATTCCTCCATTTGCAGTCACTTTAACAAAAGCAGAATGTGGAACGTTCACCACACTTATTGTATGCTGGCCATTTGTGCACTCTGCACGTCATCTTTACAGGCCACAGGTCAAATGTTTGGCTTCAGTGAGTTGTTTGGCCCTTCATTTAAAAAAATGCATTTACTTTTATCATATTTAATTATTAGTCTTTTCTGCAATGTTTGAAGTGCCCATGAGTATAAATGCATGAGAAAAAAATTATTCTGGTTGCGATTTTGGATGATATTATTACACTTTGTTTACGTTATTACGGGACTGCATACGTGAGGCATTGCACTGCGAATGCGATTGCTAGTAACATTGAATCCATAATCAACGCATTCACAGTCATTTGCAAAATTTGATCCCAAAGTAAAAAAAAAAAATTGTACACCCAGAAGAGTCGTAACATGATCTATTGTGCATATTTCTGCCCCAATACACAAGCATCACTTACTACTTGCTTTCCTTGTTGTAGTGTCCAGCTGCGCTCATGGTCCCCAGAGGAGAAGAATTACAGACTGTCCAGGCCACTTTCGCAGGTTGGTTTCTGTCAACATTTTGTGTTCCTTTTGAAGTATTCTATGTGGTTTCTGCATCTGCCTCCTGCCCAAAATGTTCCTGGTTTGAATTTTTGCTCAGGCCTTTGTTTGGAGTTCACTCCGTGCTTGCGTGAGTTTTCTCGAGGTACGCCAGCTTCCTCATACATTCCAGACATGTATGTTTGTCTACCGTATATGTGCTCGGCGAATGACTCACTGCTAATTCAGGATGTACCCCGCCTCGCACAAATTCAGCTGGGACAGGCACTAGTTCACCCCTAACCCTGAACAGGATAACTGTTAGAAAATGTACGGATGACTGGATGGTTTGATCCAAAACTTACTGTTTCATCGGCATGATATGAGTGAAACGTTGAGGTTCGTCCCGATCTGTAGCCTGATGCTGCGGTACAAGTTTGTACAGTACAGTGTGCTGGACATGCCTCTACTGTATTCTTGTTGTGATCATAAAGTCTACATCTGTTTTGTATCAACAGATTTGCCCATTCTAGAAGTGAATGACGTTTTACTTTTTCATCTTTAACTCAAGCACATTGTGCGTGTGATACTAGACTGTCAATGGGTTGCATGAGGACTTTATTGGAACAAGATACAAAAAAAAGTTTAAACATTTTTATAGCAGGACGTGTGCAAACAAGAAACATCACTCTTATTGAAATATTTCACAGTCAAGCTAGACAGCAGTTCGAAAATATTTGTGATAAAATCACTGACCATAACTTTGGGTCATTGCTAAACAGTCAAATACTAAAAAGGGGAGGCTTGTGGTTATCATGTGAATGCCGCCAATGCTTATTTACAGTTCCAGCAACAAAACTAAAACGAGGGTGACTCGGGCATCTGCAGAGCCTTTCGTGAGCTTAAGAGAGAACATGTTGTGGGAAAGTTCATTGTGAATTATTTCAGCTATGTGTGCACGCTTGGCTTCACTAAAGACTGAACATGTGAGATGACAGAGCAGGAAAAACATACAAGACCCCTTGTAATGGCAGAAGGAATTCCAGACCTTTTTATAACTCTTGTGGACACTTCATAAACTTAGATAAATATGCAGAGGTTTGAACTTCAAAACATGTGAGTGTTCCCTCTAGGAGGCTGCAGGCGAAAGGTTCATCTAAAAAATGTGTTCTGGAGTTTGGGATGCTTTGTTTTTGACAAATTAAATGAGATCCTGATGCACTAGCCACTTTCACACTGCCAGTTACCACATCGAGGAGTAGAGCTGGCATTTATTTGCTCTTGCCTTTCTAAGAGAGCTTGCTAAAGTGCGTGTCACAACAGTCGGCTAGGTGACAGTAAGATAACTAGGTGTGTCGTCACGTCAGCATGACAGTGACGATTGCTTTTAACACACAGGGGCGTGGGCAGTGACTCAGTCGGCTGGTCAAATTACCACTCTCGACCCAAACCACTAATCCCGCATTAAAATGTTTTACACACAGGACAGAAAGTGGTGAAAACGTGGGTTTAGATGGCCCGTTTGAAAGAGGATACTGACTTACTAAGAAATGGCGTATCTGGCTGCAGTAGACACAGCAGAAATAGAAATTGGAATCCTTCCTGATATCACATTGATGGAACCGCAAAGTCTCTCGAGGCTTGTTCTGTACGTTCAAGTGGATTTAGGGCATTCCGACTTTGCAACATGTCCTTGTGGTTACTTGAATCTGTTCAAGGTTGAAAGAAGTGAGATAAGTGATGCTTAGATACCCGAGGCAGCGGATTGAAAGGGGGATGACGTAACTGACCAGGGTTAAAACTTGAGTACGCTAGCATCGCCGGGGTGGAGAGTAGAAGAGCCATCAGAAACATCACGGAGGAAGCAGAGAAAGCCTCGAGATAGCTCTGGATGAGAAGAGGTGATCCATGGGAGGTAGCAAATACTACTTGAGCACAAGCCGGGTATGTTCAACCACCGCTGGGTCGCCTGGAAGAGGATGTCTATTGTTGATAACACCCACAGACTCCAGGTTTCATCAGTGATGTGTTCAGGAGCGTCTGAGAGATGTATTTTATCAATCACTTTGCTGGAGAAACCAGTGGCAACCAGGAACAGACTGGATGAGGGTGAGCAAGTGCCACAACGCACAGGTACCCTACCTGGTAAGATGCAGGAGGAGCCAGGCCTGGAAATACCCCACAGAGCCAAGAATCTCCAAGTGCCGCAAACAATCCCTCAGAACAGACCTCCAGAGAGGGTTTGAGTTAAATGGCCACAAGTTTGCAAAATGGCAAAACAGTTTGACAAGGATGCCAATTCCATATTAGTTCCTTGTCCAGGCAGTGTACAACATTCTGCCCAGCCCATCAAACCTCTCCATCTCAGGAAAAACCAGGAAGGGGCACGTTGGAGCACATATTGAGATGCAGTCCAGTAGCTCTTGGGCAAAGTCTGTATACTTGGCGCCACAATCAAGTTCTGAAACCCATCGCGGAAGCCATTTGTGTGGGAATCAGCAGCAGCAGACAGTCCCGCACCACCACCCATACGATCACTTTCGCGAAGGCTGGAGAGCAGTTGCAAAACACCGTAGGAGCCAGAAACCCACCACAATTCCTGCGAAAGACTGGCAGCTGTCTATCCACTTGGACAAACAACTCAAGTTCCCCCAGCACATTGCCAAAACCACCTTGAGACCAGACATCCTCCTGGTTTCAGAGGTGGTGAAAACCATGATCCTGTTGGAGCTGACTGTCCCATGGGAGGACTGCCTGGATGTGGCCCACGAGAGGAAGAAGATCAAACATGAAGAACTGCTCTCAGACTGCCGCAAGCAGGTCTGGAAGGTAAAGTGTATGCCCATCGAGGTTGGCTGCAGAAGGTTTGTGGGCCAATCATTATAAAACCTTGAGTACGCTGGTCATCACCAGAGTGGAGAGTAGAAGAGCCATCAGGAACATCACGGAGGAAGCAGAGAAAGCCACCTGAACACAAGCCGTGTCTGATCAATTATGGCTGGATCGTCTGGAAGAGGGTGTCGAAAGGGAGGGTGTTGAAAGACCCGAAACACCGGAGGACTCCAGGTTACATCACTGATGATGTGTTCAGGAGCATCTGAGAGATGTATTTTAGTAAAAAAAATAGAGTGATGGAAGAGAATGTGGTTTTGCAGCAAGGAATTTTAATTCAAGATGATATAAATGAGTGGTGGCTTGGTTGATCTTGTTAGAAAAGTGTAAGTCTGTGACGATAATGTGATCATAGTTATGACTAGGCAGGGTCAGGGTATTTATGTATGCAAAGGTTGGTTGTGTTTGACTTTTAGTTGACTATGATGCCATATTAAATTTTAGTCAAGCTGTAGTTGACCTAATTTGAATTAAATTACAATGAATTTTATTTTCAAGTTCATTAACCTGCTGCTGTGGCTATGAAGCTGAAGCTGCTTCTTACGGTACAGAACTGTGAAACGCAGTTTTGAATTGGCACGCACACACACACACACACACACACACATGCACGCATATGCTTGCACGCACACTCAGACTGTTGGAATGAACTTGCTCCTGTCATAGCTGTTGGTCTTGAACAGCCTCACATATTTGATTATTCATAGCTACACCCATTCTTATTTTTAATTGTTCTTTCTCTTTGCCAAATCATCTCTTTGCTCCTCTAACTTGAGTTCAACTCGCTATCCCCACAACAAAATAGATCATAATTGGCATTTATTGTTGTAATTTTGAACCTTTCAACAGTTTGTGCCTTTGCCAGCATTGTACAATTGATGCAGCCCGGTCTTGAACTGAACTGCACTTTGCGATTTATGCCTCGTGCGCCACACTTGTCTTTTTTTCCTCACATTTCTGGCCTGTAAGTCGATATGAAATGTAACTTTTGACTGCCATCTGCGCTTGACGGCTTCAGTGTGGACTATCATTTCGACTGGTGGACGAGTTATGGGTTTTGGCTGACCCCGTTTCATGAATGTTGTCCACTGAGGTTTTAAAATGATTAGCATCCCACTGCAGTGCTGTGATTAGTGAGTTGAATTCTTTCAGAGCGCCCCGTGGGGAAGAGGCCTGCCTTGGCTGCCCTGTACATTATGCTGCTTGGGCTGGCAGGAACACTGCAGCTCAGTAAATGTGAGCTGTGGCAAGCTCCATGACAAGGACCTCTGTCCCCGACTAAGAGGTGAACGGCACTACTATATCAGGTGATCCTCCTGTCTGAAAAGTGCTTAAAAGGCTTTTCCACACTTCTTTTGGGTCCCTCAGTGAGCAAAGTGGGATGTGCGCAACAGGATCCCCCATTTTCCAGGGTGTTGGGTATCCTGAGAAAATGCGGTGTACAATAGTGGCTGTGATGGCGCAGGGTGTGTACGACTAGGGCCGCTTTTCCCGACGTCTTACAAGGCGTGTTCTTGTGTGACGAGAGCTAGAAGAGGGGGATGGTTGTGAAATGTTGTGGAAACCAAGGAGTCTGACGACCTTGCCAAACCGTATTTAAGACATCACACCAATTTGCAAATGTCAAGATATTGCTGTAGTGAAGAAATGCTCTTTATGCCCGAGAGACTTCAACACTCGTCCTCAAATAAATCTACATTGGCAAATATTTACATACACAAACACGAGTTGTTTTTACGTAAATTATTTGTATTGGAAAGAAGGGGGCAAGACAAGATAAGTTTGTGCTTCCTTCTGCCCCTTCTTGAATTCAACATTTTGAATAGAGTCTGTTTTGCCTACTTTTGTTATTTCTTATTGATTGTTCAAGATAAAGATTAAATCAGACATGCACACTAATAATTTATACACTTACATGTCTGGACAATTACTTATAGATGGTGATGCATTTTATGGGTTATTGTTTTGTTTTTTTTGTTCTGATCAAGAGTTTGGAAGGATTGTTGTGAGTTCGAGACCAGGCACTTTTTCTCAAGTGTCCATCTATTGTTAGGCAAGTGCATGTTTTTTCAGGAAGTATTCAATGCCGCTAGAGAGTGTAACATCCTGTCCCTTTATGTAATACGTGT